TCTCAACCTACCTCCTGGGAAAATTTAAGGTGAAAACCTTTCCTCCCCCATTGGATATCCATACCTGTCAATATAGGGGAGGAGTAGTGCGCATATTAAATAGAATCGCCCATTATTAAGACCAAAATTTGATGGATAAATTTTTATGACTGCGGCACTTTAACAGACCAGGCGATCTACTTTCTTTCTAGATTAGAAATTGCCTCAAGAATATAGCTGTTACCTTACAATTTGAAGGCGCAAGAGATCTTTTTAAGCTTCATACGAAAGACGTTATTGAAAAACTAAAGGTATGTTTATCTATATAACTCCAACGCGTAAAGGCGATCAATAAGAAGGAGAATATGCATATCAAAGTATTCAACTGTTCAATCATCGTTTGAATATGCAAAAAGTTGCCCTAAGAACAATTAGTTTATACATAGGTGATCATCTTTAAATCAGAAAATATACACAAAACAAAATATGCTAGTACAGAAGTCGAGATTTTTGGTATCTCGTTGGATAGAGGAATTTTGTAGATGGAAATTGCGAACTGAAGATTATGTACAGTTTTAGAACAAACCAGGAGCAGTTGGGAAAAATACAACTATAGGGCCTCTGGTAGGAATCGAACCCGCAACTGAGCTGCAGGGTCCAGTTGTCGAGCTCTGACTGGGTGATGCCAGTATACGGTATAGCCTATGGGTAAATATCGAGCTTATTCGCCTAATGGAAAACAGGCTTACCATGCCCCTTATTTTTTGTTCAGGAAAGTCATACATCATGGACAAGTCACTCCTCATCCCGATTGTTGTTTAATACGCTGCTTTTGAATGCGGGTCCAGTCGTTGGAACATTACTTTCAGATATCGTACCCATGTTCACAGTTTGCCTTAATCCAGAAAAAGACCCGGAATTAAGACTGAAGTAAGTTTGGTCACATTTCTCAACACTAGTGGTGTTCGAGGCACAACTGTTCAATGCATATGCCTTTCAGATCTGTGACCGGGATGTAATTCATGCCACATCGGTCGCATGTGAGTAGAAAGCTTTTAAACTGGCTGTATCAAATATCGCAGACTTTTTCCAGACCAATAAAGAATACGGTCCTTATTGTTTTATCATCCTTCAGCAACATTGGGCCACCTACCCACCCCTACCACCTACCTAATAAGTGATACCCACCTACCTTTCTACCCACCTACTTAATTCCTGCCCATCTGCCTCCCTACCTAATAAGGGATACCAACCTACGTTCCTACCCACCTAACTCCTTACCCACCTCCCTACCTTCCCACCCACCTACTTCCCTACTTAATAAGAGATACCCACCTTCCTTCCTACCTCCCTACCTAGTAAGAGATATTCACCTCCCTACCTAAGGGATACTCACCTCCCTATATAATAAAGGATACCCACCTACCTCCTTCCCTTCCCATACACACCCATCTACCTCCCTCCCCACTTAAAAAGGGATAGAATCTCTTACTGGACCTTCATGGAGAACAGTTTAGAACTGCATGATATGAGGAACTGGTAGAACAATCCAGTCTGAATAAAGTTAGTATAAATTTTGGGCACTCCGGTTTCCTCTTCTGCAGTAACAATGGAAGACTTTGCCCTATTAACGCCTTGGGCCCTCATTCCCAGCTTTGGCTACTTCTCAGAAAGCTAACACATCTTCTCACAACTGGTGTTTAGGTTTTTCTCGTTGCTATCAAAACTATCAGTGGACTCGGCCAACACCATCAACTCCACAAGCGAGTTTCCACAGCATTCCCGGACAGTTCTCGTTGATTGTATAATACCAAATCTTGTGTGGAGAGCTGGAAGGTATGTTAGGACTCCCTCAGACCAAGTGACTTGACTTAGACTCACACCAAGTCACTTGAATTAGACTCAGACCAAATAACTTATGACCTGACTTGGATTCAGACCAAATGACTTGTGACTTGACTTGGACTCAAACCAAATGATTTGACTTGGACTCAGACCAAATGATTTGTGATTTGACTTGGATTCAGACCAAATGATTTGTGATTTGACTTGGATTCAGACCAAATGATTTGTGATTTGACTTGGATTCAGACCAAATGACTTATGACCTGACTTGGATTCAGACTAAATGATTTGTGACTTGACTTGGACTCAGACCAAATGATTTGTGATTTGACTTGGATTCAGACCAAATGATTTGTGATTTGACTTGGATTCAGACCAAATGATTTGTGATTTGACTTGGATTCAGACCAAATGACTTATGACCTGACTTGGATTCAGACTAAATGATTTGTGACTTGACTTGGACTCAGACCAAATGATTTGTGATTTGACTTGGATTCAGACCAAATGATTTGTGATTTGACTTGGATTCAGACCAAATGATTTGTGATTTGACTTGGATTCAGACCAAATGACTTATGACCTGACTTGGATTCAGACTAAATGATTTGTGACTTGACTTGGACTCAGACCAAATGATTTGTGATTTGACTTGGATTCAGACCAAATGATTTGTGATTTGACTTGGATTCAGACCAAATGATTTGTGATTTGACTTGGATTCAGACCAAATGACTTATGACCTGACTTGGATTCAGACTAAATGATTTGTGACTTGACTTGGACTCAGACCAAATGATTTGTGATTTGACTTGGATTCAGACCAAATGATTTGTGATTTGACTTGGATTCAGACCAAATGATTTGTGATTTGACTTGGATTCAGACCAAATGACTTATGACCTGACTTGGATTCAGACTAAATGATTTGTGACTTGACTTGGACTCAGACCAAATGATTTGTGATTTGACTTGGATTCAGACCAAATGATTTGTGATTTGACTTGGATTCAGACCAAATGATTTGTGACTTGACTTGGACTCAGACCAAATGATTTGTGATTTGACTTGGACTCAGACCAAATGATTTGACTTGGACTCAGACCAAATGATTTGCGATTTGACATGGATTCAGACCAAATGATTTGTGATTTGACTTGGATTCAGACCAAATGATTTGTGATTTGACTCGGACTCAGACCAAATGATTTGTGACTTAACTTGGACTCGGACCAAGTGACTTGTGATTTAACTTGGACTCAGACCAAATGATTTGTGATTTGACTTGGATTCAGACCAAATATTTGTGACTTGACTTGGACTCAGACCAAATGACCTGACTTGGATTCAAACCAAATGATTTGTGATTTGACTCGGACTCAGACCAAATATTTGTGACTTGACTTGGATTCGGACCAAATGACTTGTGATTTAACTCGGACTCGGACCAAATGATTTGTGACTTGACTTAGATTCAGACCAAATGTTTGTGGCATAAACTGTCTGGATTACAAACCTTAAATCATTATCCATGATATATTTGTATTAACATGACTGTTGTAATTGATTCTCACTAGGGTAGCCATTGCCATACGTACGGCCGCAATATCTACTTTATGGGCAATACTTCATGCTGACCTGTTACCTGTCGAGACTTGCAATAGCACATTGAAAGATCTCTTGACACAGGTAACTACACTCGCTTGTATTATGATCTAAATATTCAATCAGATACCGTTTAACCAAAAGGTAATTTTGTATCGGGTTGGTTAGACAAAGCAAAACTGTTCATTTCTTGTTCATTTTTTTATCATGCAGATTATCTCGTGTCTGGATGACCACAGCGCCACAACGAGGTCAATTACCTCTCAAGTTTTAGAGAAATTATTGACGCTTTGCAAAGATCATTATAACGGTAGGTACGCACGCAAAAACACACAAGTTGCAACAAACCTGCAGCAGACTTGTAGCAATGCTGTTCGAACAACTTGTCAACAGGTTGTGTTCGCACTGCTTGTTCCCAGCTTCTTGACAAGTTGCTACCACACACGCAAAAATCTCGCATCTTGTAACAAGTCTGCCAACAAACAAGTCAACACGTTGTGTTCGCATGTGACTCTCTTTTGTTCCCAAGTTGTCATCAAGTTTGGAACAAGCTGCTCACAACTTGTAACAATTTTTATGGCATTATCAGACTTGTTGCAATGTTGTTCCAACAAGTCCGAACAGTCATGACATAACAATATTGTTACAACCTTGTGTCGTCAACCTTGTAACATTCTTGTTATATCATGATTGTATATATGAGACTTGTTACAAGTTGTTCCAACAACTTGTTATCATCCTGGGGCCGGTTGTATAAAACTCTTAATCACTTTTTTAATCACTATTTTGTAGTTAAATAGTGATTAACTCTCAAATACGCGCTTCTTATTGGATGACGTTTCCACTAACTATAG